TACGGCGGAGGTGAGCGGCCGGGGGCGGCGGGCTCGCGGCTGCCCGGCGCCCCGCCCCCCGCGCCGCGCCCGGCCTCCTCGTCCGGCGCCAGGTCCAGCCTGAGGTTCGGGTCTCCCGCTACTTGTGCTCCCCGCCCCGGGCGCCCCGCGCCCGCGCCGGCCGGGCCTCACGCGCCTGTCTCCCCGCACAGATGAGGTGGGCGCGCTCGTCTTCGACATCGGCTCCTTCTCCGTCCGCGCGGGCTACGCCGGGGAGGACTGCCCCAAGGTGAGGCGGGGGAGGGGCGCAGCCGCGCGCGGGAGCCCGGGGGCCGCCAGCGCAGGCTGACCGGCCCCGCTCTCGGGCAGGCCGACTTCCCCACGACCGTGGGGCTGCTGGCCGCGGAGGACGGGGCCGGGCCGGAGCTGGACGGGGAGAAGGAGAAGAAGGGGAAGACCTTCCACATCGACACCAACGCCCTGCACGTGCCCCGCGACGGCGCGGAGGTCATGTCGCCCCTCAAGAACGGCATGAGTAAGGGCCGCCTCTGCCCCCAACAGACGGGGACGCACGTATGCATAACACAAGCACACGCACATGCACACACACACACATGCATACACACACGCATACACACACATGCATGCACACACACACACACGCATACACACACACACATGCATACACGCATGCACACACACACGCATGCATACACATACACGCATGCATACACACACACACATGCACACACACGCATGCATACACACACACGCATGCACACACACGCATGCACAAACACACACATGCACACGCATGCACACACACGCATGTACACACACACACGCATGCACACACACACACACATGCACACACACGCATGCACACACACACGCACGCACACACACACGCATGCACACACACACGCATGCACACACACACACGCACGCACACACACGCATGCACACACACACACATGCACACACACACACATGCATACACACACACATGCACACACACACACATGCATACACATGCACACACACACACACACACGCATGCACACACACACATGCATACACCCCACCGCGTGGGCGCAGATCTTGCTACCTGCTGCTCAGCGCCCCCCTCGCCCAGACCCCGGGTCTTCCGGAACTGAAGGGCGGGCTTCAGGAGACACTGGGCCGCCGGAGCCCCGCCTCACCCTCCTCACTCCTGCTCTGAACCCGCCCTCCTTCCCGCCCTCCTTCCCGCCCTCCTTCCTTCCCGCCCTCCCTCCTTCCTTCCTTCCCACCCTCCTTCCTTCCCGCCTTCCCTCCTTCCTTCCCTCCCTCCTTCCCACCCTCCCTCTTTCCCTCTCGCCCTCCTTCCTTCCCTCCCTCCTTCCTTCCTTCCTTCCCGCCCTCCCTCCTTCCCTCCCTCCCTCGTTCCCACCCTCCCTCCTTCCCTCCTTCCCTCCCGCCCTCCCTCCCGCCCCGCCCCGCCCCGCCCCGCCCCGCCTGCCCCGCCTGCCCCGCCTGCCCCGCCTGCCCCGCCTGCCCCGGCCGCAGTTGAGGACTGGGAGTGCTTCCGAGCCATCCTGGACCACACCTACAGCAAACACGTGAAGTCTGAGCCGAACCTGCACCCGGTGCTCATGTCGGAGGCCCCGGTGAGTCCCGACGGCACCCCTCTCCGCCGTCACCGCCTCAGCCCCTCGCTGCTGCCCCCTCGCCCCGTCCCCCTCCCTCGTCCTCCCTGGCTCACCCTCCGTCCTCCCCTCTCCGTCGCCCCCTGTTGTCACACGCGCTCAAGTGTTGGGCCCGTGCTGGGCACAGCACTGGCTCCGAGGTGGAGAGCTTGCCGGCGTGCCAAGGCTCTGGGTTCAATCCTCAGGAAGTCCAGTCTATAACCCCAGCGCCCAGGAGGGCCAGGCAGGTCAAGGTCCCCTCAGCCTCATAGTGAGGCCAGGACAGCCAGGACTGCGCAGAGAGACTCCGTTTCTAAACAGAACACAGTGCGTGTGTGCGTGCACGTATATTTCCTGGCACACCTTTGTTGATAATTCCATACGTGCCCCTCCTCCACCGCCCTTCCCTAACCCTGCACTTTTCTCTGCCAGCTTCTGCACTTTAAAGACATAATAATTACAAAGTTTAAAGCCTTTAATCCCAGCACTTGGAGGCAGAGGCAGGTGGACCGCTGTGAGCTCCAGCCAGCCTGGTCTACAGAGTGATTTCCAGTACAGCCAGGGCTACACAGAGACATCCTGTCTAGAACCCCCCCCAAAAAACCACCCGAACTAAGCATTGAGTCCGCTTGGAGCAGCTTCTGCTTGCAGCGGTGGAGACCGTCTGCTGGGATGTGAGTAGGCTCCCAGAAACCGCGGCCTTAGAGAGAGGAAACCCCTTCCCAGCAGCCGGGGCCGGCCCAGCTCTCCTTTCCTCATCTGTGCCAGCATTTCAGTTGGCTGCTTGTTTTCCCATAAATGTTTTGTTCAACCGTCTCATTATTTATTTAGTGTGTTTGTTTGCTTGTTTATTTGTTTTGGACAGGGTTTCTCTGTGTGGCCCTGGCTGTGTAGACCAGGCTGGCCTTGAACTCACAGAGCTCCGCCTGCCTCTGCCTCCTGAGAGCTGGGGTCACAGGCGTGCACCACCACAGCCACCTCTGTGCATTTCAAACTTTACAGTTTATTATTTTTGCTGTGTGTGTGTTTGGGGGAGGTAAGCCAGTGTCATACAGAAGGCAGAGGACAGCCTGCAAGGGCCAGTTCCTCCTTCCAGCGAGCTGGTCCCGAGGGCTGCACCATCTTGTCAGCTCTTGAGTTGTTTTATTTTATGCATTATCCAGCAATTTTCCACTACAAAAGATGAACATTTACCTCTTTCTCACCCACAGGCAATATCATGTTTCTCATTTTCCAACTTTACGTGCAGTCATGTTTTATTAAAAACAAACAATTCTGAGCTTATGCTCTTTTATATTTTACAGGCTGATGAGCTGAGCTGGGCAGTGAACCATGGTTGCCTTTTCATTCTCATGTGATACTTGTCTTCCTGAGAGCTGAGAATTGTGGTTTTCATTCTCCTTAATTTTCTGTTTGTCAGCGTAACCCCGTTACCCATCAGGTATCTACATGTTTTTCCAAGGCTCCAATTCCAGGATATAATCTACTAATTTGGTCTTATTAGAAGCCTGTCTTGGAGCCCACTGGCACCGTACACTTTGGCTTAAATATAGGAAATATCTGTTAGGCTAACATCTGCCTTCAACACTACCTAGGAGAATCTGTTTTCTTCCGAGAAGAGTAGGTGTTCCACGTACTAGACCCTTTCCTTGATTCACTCCTTTGTTTTCACAGAGCAAATCCTCCAGTAACCACCTCAGGTCACAGAAGTATTTCTTTTGAGACTTTGAATTGATAGTTTAGCTAGGTATTATACTCTAGGTTGGAAAACTTTTTTTCCCCAGATCTTGAAAGCGGTTCCTTCCATTGTCATTAAAATCCAGTGTTGATATTGAGACATCTAGAACCATCCTCCTGTTTCCCCCTCTCTGAAAGCATTTAGAATTTTCACTCCATCCTAACTGTTTTAAAACATGATATATTCTGATGTTGGCATATTTCATTAATTGTTCTAGAAACTTTTGTCTTTTAGCTAAGGGAAAAACCTTTATTTCTGTCATTTTGTTTTAGCTATGTGTGTATCTGTATTTCTTTGTGTGTGTGTGTGACTGTCATGTGAGCGCCAGAAGACAGCTTATGGGCCTTGGTTCAGCTCTTTCACCATCTGGGAATCAAACTATGTCATCAAGCTTGGTGGCACCCATTGGCCCACTGAGGAAAAAAAAAACCTTAATTATGTTTTTGCTATTTATTTCTCCTCATTTCTTCTCTTCCCAGTTTTGGGAGATCCATCACTTATATTTTGCAGCCCCTGAGTTGGTCCCTATTTTTTTCCCTTCTGTTTTCCATCTTCACCTTTTCCTCTAGTTTCCAAGATACTGCCTTTACTTTATAGTTTATCAGTAAAATTGCTCCTGAATTCTTAATCTCCATGAGCTTTTTTCGTCTCCGTCATTGTCTTCTTGGTTTCATTTTTTTTGTTGTGGTGTTTTGTTTTGTTTTGAGACAGGGTCTCTCTGTGTAGCCCTAGCTGACCTGGAACTCGCTCTGTAGACCAGGCTGGCCTTGAACTCACTACCTCTGCCTGCCTCTGCCCCGAGTGCCGGGATCACAGGTGTGCACACCACTTCCTGGCTCTGTGTTCTTCATTTAAATGACTGGAGCCTGGGAACGTCTGAAGGCTGTTTATTTTCCTGAGGGATGCTGGGAGCTGAAATTAGGGCCTCAAGAATTCTAGGCAGAAACCGCCATCGCCGACGCAAGAATGTTCTCTTTTTGAGCATCTTGTTCTTGTTTCATGGGTCCAATATCACACTCCTTTACCAAAGATATTCCTTGTTTGTTGTTAGGTTTCTTCCTCCTCCCACACTGTTGTTCCTGCTGTATTTTTAGAACATCCATTGTAGTTTAGAGGCATTTAGAAGGCTTTCACAAGTGGGTCGCTTTGTGTAAAAGTGTAAAAGAGTGATGAGAAGCCCTGTGTGAGGAGTGCCGGCTTGCTGACCATGTTCTTGCTGTGGGAGTATTTGAGGACGAGGTTTTGAAGGAAGTTTCTGCTTTGGTATCTTTAGAAATTTTCTTAATTAAACTGAAAATGTTAGACTGTTAAAAACTTATTTTATGTCTATGAGTATTTTGTCTGTGTGTGCGCATGGATACATGTGCCTGGTGCCCTCAGAGGTTCAGACACGGTGTCAGATCCCCTGGGACTGGAGTTACAGGTGGTTGTGAGCTGCCGTGAGAGTGCAGGAATCGAACCCAGGTCCTCTGCAGGAACAGCAGGTGCTTCCATATACCGAGCCCTGAATTATATTTTACTTGAATTAATTTATTCAATTTTTAAAATATTTGTTTTTCTTTGTAAGATTATATTATTTTAAAGTTGTATGTGTGCAAACGTGTCTTTGTGCAAGTTCCCGTGGAGAGAAGCTGTCAGGTCGCCTGAGCCGAGTTACAGCTGCTTGTGGACGTGTCATGTGGGTGCTAGGGGCCAAACCCGGACAGCCAGCGGCCTCGTTGCTAGCGCTGTTCACATATGTCTGCTGTAGAGATCTTTCCGATGCCCTTTCCGGAGCCAGTACAGGCACGGGGCCGGAGTTCTCCAGAAACACGTGGTGTCCCTCAGTGCTCGCACGTTCTCGCGGCCGGCTGTGTGAGGGCCCAGCGGCTCAGGCTCGCGCAGGTTCGCTCTCTGAACCAGCTGGGGAGTGGAGGGACCACAGCCCAGGGACACGCTTTGTTCATCTGTCCCGGGATTATTACTTAAATGGTTTACGCGTCATCTGGAGCTCGCTACGTAACCTGGCTTAGGCTCAGAGTCGCCATCCTCCTGCCTCAGCTCCTCAGTGCTGGGATTACAGGTACCCAGGCAGCGCCGGCCCCGGCTGCATCCGTCCCTACTCAGATGTCTGCTCAGGCGTTTCATTAGAAAGCGGTCCCTCAGCTAAGACGTTCGGGGTCAGCTCTGGGGACTGGAGACTGAAGGCACGATGCTGGTGTGCTGGGCACGCTGCCCACCAGGCCACTGCCCGCTGCTGTGCTCCCCCAGCTCGGGTCCTCCACGCCGGCGGGGTCCTCCATCCTCTGCTGAGTCACAGTCCCCCTTGGCACAGTTCCTGTGCCCCACCAGCGCTCAGTCATGCGTCCACCCCCGCTGGGAAGGGGATTGCTCTCGACACTTACGGACCAAGATTCCCTGTGCACCGGTTTTCGATCTTAAAAGGATTGCCTCTCACTGCAGGTGTGCGAGCCTTCAGCCTGCATGTGGGGGTGTGCCAGTGTGTCCGGTTCCTGTGGGTGCTGAGGAGGACACAGGGTCCCTACAGATAATTGTGAGCAGGGAGACAGACCAGGGCTCTCTCAAGAGTAGCCAGTGCTCTAACCCATGAGCCACCTCCCCAGCTCCTCGGTTTCACTTCTTTTGGGTGCAGAACCAGGCGTGGAACCACCGAGTCCTGTGGACGTCCCTGTTGTGTGTCTTGGGACACCGACAGTAATCCTGCAGCGGCTGAGCCCTTCCCCAGTCCTCCAGGAGGATGTTTATCCGTTTAGTGGGGGGGGGCAGCCTCATGCCGTGGAGGCCACATGGAGGTCAGAGGACGGCTTGCGGGAGTCTTCTCCATCCACCACGCAGATCCTGGGTTTGAACTCAGGTCCTCAGGCTTGGCTGCCCGCGCCTTCCCGCGCCCTGCTCTCCGGGTTTGCAGTTGTCAGCATTGTCTATGCAGGTGTCAGCCTCGTGCTTTTGGTTTGCTTCTCCAGTGGCCAATGGCGCCGGGTTTGCATTTCCCTCGTGGCTCGTCTCTTTGCACGCTCGCTGGCTTTTGTAGGTCTCTGTCTTTCAGAAATGTCTCGTGTTTGCCGGGATCCCGAGGGGGAAATCGGTGTTTGTATTCGGCCTCCTGTTCTTACCAGATAGGAGGAGGTGGAGGACGAGCGGGGAGCCCAGGAGAGGCTGAGGTCAGACTGAGCTGGGGAAGGGTGCTGCCCAGATCCAGCGATGCCAGCCGCTGTGAGGCAGCAGGGCTGTGGCTCAGTTGGAGAAATTGCCTAGCCTGCGGGAGCTGTGGCTTCTGCTCCTGGCAGCACATCAAGAACACGCCGTGTCCCTGGGCGCAGGCGGTGGAGGGAGGGTGTATGTCCAAGACACCCTCAGCGAAGGCCTTTCTGGGCTGCATTTTTCTCCAGACAAAAGCCAAAGCCCCAGCGGCCGGGGAGGTGGCTCATTCGGTAAAATAAGTGTTTGGCACACAGCATGGGACACACAGCCAGCAGACTCCCTGGGGCTGTGGCTAGCAAACCTGGCCAGACTGTTCAGAGAGAGACCTTGTCTGGAAAACTAAGGTGCACAGTGCTTTAAGAAGACACCTTATCTCAACTTCTGGCCTCCATGCGCATCTGCACAGACAGAGAGACAGACACACACACTAAATAAACAAGTAAACACATGGAAATTTTACATTGTTTTCTTTTGGCTTTTTGAGACAGGGTTTCTCTGTGTAGCCCTGGCTGTCCTGGAACTCACTCTGTAGACCAGGCTGGCCTCGAACTCGCAGAGATCCACCCACTTCTGCCTCTCAAGTGCTGGGATTAAAGGTGTGCGCCACCGCCAATTGGATGAGAAATGACATTCTTGCTCAGGCATGGCGCCGTGTGCCTGTTACCCCAACACTTGAAAGACTGTGGCAGGAAGATCGACAGTTTGAGGCAGGTTTGGGTCAAAATAAAGAATAAAACAAAACAGGGCTGAGGACTTAGGTCAATGGCCCCAGGCTTTCCCCCCAGCACAGCAAAACAAAATCAAATACAGTTCCTTATAGTTCTGTCTCCAGTCTGTCATGTGTGTGTACGTGTGTACATATGCTTGCATACGTGTATGGAACATTAAGTGCGTGTGTTTGTATCTGTGCGCTGTGTCTGTGAGTCCGTGTATCTGTCCGCACACAGACGTGTGAAATGTGTATAGGAACATCTGGCTCTGTGTGCTTCTATGCAAGCCCATGTGTGCCCACGCTCACACACACACGCTCACATACACACACGCTCACACAGGCTCACACACACACGCTCACACACACACGCTCACACACACACGCTCACACACAGGCTCACACAGACACGGTCACACACACGCTCACAGACACGCTCACACACAGGCTCACACACACGCTCTGGTTGTGCTTTCTTTGCAGTGGAACACTCGGGCCAAGCGCGAGAAGCTGACGGAGCTGATGTTTGAGCAGTACAACATTCCCGCCTTCTTCCTGTGCAAGACAGCCGTACTCACCGCGTATCCGAGGACCGAGCAGCGGGGCGGGCGGAGGGCGCGCATGCACGTGCGCGTGTGCTCGCGAGTGCGTGCGCGAGTGCCGTATTGGCCAGGGCCGGGGTAGCGGGAGAGCAGTTTCGGGTGTGACCCTTTGCCCCTCACAGTGCAGAAGGGCTACGGGCTGCAGGCCGGGGCTGGGGCGCAGGTCAGGGTGAGGAGGAGGGACACGTCACAGGAAGTGCTCCCTCCCAGACGCCCGCGGGCAGTCGTCCCTTCTCAGAAGCGGTGCTAGCCGGAAGTTTGTGCCGGCCATGGGGTGACAGGGGCCCCGGTCAAGGGCCAGCTGCCAGGAGCTGGGTGGGGAAATGCAGGCCTGGGGTTCCAGCACTTGGGAAACCAAGGCCGGATGCTTGCCGCTAGTTTGAGGCCAGCCTGAGCTTCACAGTGAGTTCCAGGCTAGCTTGGACTCCATAGTAAGAAAAATATATGTGTGTGTGTTGGGGCGGGAGCAGTGGCTTCGGGGCTTGCTGCTCCTGGAACTGGGCGTGAGTCCCAGCGCCCACACGGGCAGCTCAGCCGTGAAAGCGATGGCGGCCCAGCTTCGAGGAATGCACTTGGGAGCCTCCGAAGCCCGCACGCCCGCCTGGTGGCGGGAGGTGGAGGCCAGCAGGAGCCATGCTGGAGAGCTCTGGGTTAGGGGCACTTCGCTGGGTGACTAGGGGAAGAGCGACCCCCGACACGAACCTTGGGTCTCTGCACTCGAGCACATGCAAAAAGGGAAAAACACATCAAGAGGTCTGTTTGCTGAGAGCAGAGGGCCTCGGGGCTCCCGGCCCCGGCTCCCTCGGCGGCTGCTGCTGTTTCTTTGACTGACCCATCCCGCCCAGCTTTGCAAACGGACGCTCCACAGGCCTGGTGCTGGACAGCGGGGCCACCCACACCACCGCCATCCCTGTGCACGACGGCTACGTCCTACAGCAAGGTAGGGCCTCAAGGGGGCCGGGGGCCTCGCCGAGGCCTGCTGCCCACTTCGCTGCTTCTTTCAGGCATCGTCAAGTCGCCCCTGGCTGGGGACTTCATTTCCATGCAGTGCCGGGAGCTCTTCCAGGAAATGGCGATCGACATCATCCCCCCCTACATGATCGCAGCCAAGGTAGGACCCTGGCGTGCCCGGACTCGCCGCCCAGAGCCCTGGCTTTTCCCTCCTACCCGCCAGTCCTCCGGCCCTTGAGATAACGGAGCAGGGCCCCCTGAGGATCGCGGATCCTGGCCCTCGCTTCCCAGAGACGGGGACAGGCTTCAGGGCACGGCTGACGGCAGATGTGTGAGGAGCACTGTGATGTGTCTGATGGATCCAAATTCTTGAACCAGGTGTGTTGAAGCACATCTGTGATCCAGGCGTCTGAGAGGTAGAGGCAGGAAGGTCAGGAGTTCAAGCTCAGCCTTGGGAACGTAGTGAGCTCCCGGCCAGCCTGAGCTACACAAGTCACTCTCTGTGAGTGAGCAAACAAACAACAACATAAAAACCAACAAACAAAAAGACGGGGCTGCCGATGTGGCCCAGCAAGCTCTTGGCTTGCACGGAGTCCTGAGTCCCAGCACCACAAACACCTTGGCTGTATGAAGGCCTTCCCGAATGACGAGACTCCCACGTCAGAAAACATCTGAACAGAAGCCAGGTTCAGGTCCCTCTGCTGCCAGGAAAGAGCCGTGAGACCCAGAGCACCCTATCAAAGCTCCCTAGATGAGGGGAACAGCTCAGTGGAACCCTCGGTCCTGCCTTGACCTGGGATTCAAGGAGAACACGCCTGGTGGCAGAACCTGGGGCTTCTGGCTGGGCAGGCAAGCGCTCTACCCACTGAGCGGCAGTCCCGGCTCTGACCACACCCAGGCCCTCCTGATCACACCGGAGGTGTTCGCACATGGGAGAGCCTCTCAGTGGATTCGTCCCGCTAGGGAAGGGGGACAAGGGGGGTCTCAGGGCTGCTCAGCTGCAGCGCTGGCCGAGTGCTAGGAGGCTCCAAGGCTGTGTCCCCACAGGAGCCCGTGCGGGAGGGAGCGCCCCCAAACTGGAAGAAGAAGGAGAAGCTGCCCCAAGTCTCCAAGTCCTGGCACAACTACATGTGTAATGTGAGGCTCCTGCTGCTGGCGGCCTTGGGGGGGGGGGCAGGGAGGG